TTAATCCCAGATCCAGTCAAGTTGACACCCAAGATTAGCCATTACAAGGCTACCCCTTGTCAACTTGACACCCAATAGCATATCCCTAGATCATGCTTAATTTTCAAATGAAAACAATGTTGAGGTCATAATTTCACCTAACATGATATAACTATCCCATTATACAATGACCAATGCATTATATATCTTAGAGTAGGTGATAAGGTCTTCAAGGAATGCTTAGTCCTTTAGTGTCTCAGAACCCAATAGAATCATATAGGTTCACAACATTTAAGCACTTAACACTTATCTCAATTACACATTCAAAAAAGAATAACTCAAGTATCTGTTTAACATATGTGTATACATGCACAAGCCCATTCTTAGCCACGTTTCTGCAACTGGTCACGTGGTCTAAGTTGGTATTTGTAACTACCTTCCTCTACTACCCATTCTGTATTTCCTCCACCATCACCATACACCTGTGCAGGTCTTGCATCTTTCCCTGGAGGAGTGACCCATACTTTCATCCCTGAAGGGTCTGGGCCATTTGTTGTCCTGTCTGGATTGGGTTGTTGCAGTTTCCCATTGACCTTCATCACAGGACATCGCAACACCAAAAGTCGCCCTAAGGAATCTCCTGCCTTCCAGATACAATCTTTATTACCGCCATTGTGGAGAACAAGTCCAAATTCCCCCTGATAGTCTGGGTCAATCACCCCTCCTAATACTATTATTCCTTTCTTAGCCTGCTGGCTTAAGGGCATCAGAAGCCCAAAGTATCCAGTACAAACTAGAGTCACCTGGGAAGAAGGACCATCAGTTGAGGAAGTTTCTGCCTTAGATTGGCCTGTGGCCACATCTGTGAGGCATTTTCTTAATTGTTCATTGATAAAGGAGGGTCCAGCCCACTGTGGGTGGTACCATCCCCACGCAGTGGGCCTGAGCTATATAGAAAGGTAGCTGAGCAAGCCAGAGGGAGCAAGCCAGTAAGCAGCATTCCTCCATGGTCTCTGCTTCAGCTCCTGCCTCCAAGTTCCTGCTCTGAGTTCCTACCTTTGGTTCCCAGATGAACTGTGACCCAGGATATGTAAGCTAAATAAACCCTTTCCCCCGCCCAAGTTGGTAGTGGTCAGAGTATTTTGTCACAGCAATGAAGAAACAAACCAGAACATACAGGTTGTATCTTATTTGTGGCTGAGGCTTTTTGCACACATGACTCCAAGATGAGGCACAGTCTTTATCTTCACTGAGCAGTACATAAATTCACAAGTGAGGTGATACCTTATTCTCCTTCATGCCAAGATTCTCAAAGATTAAAAAAAGTTTTTATGGAGCTGGAGAGATGGCTCGGTGATCAAGAGCACCGACTGACTGCTCTAGTGAAGGACTTGGGTTCGATTCCCAGCACCCACATGGTGGCTAACAACTATCCATAGCTCTATTTCCAGGGGATCCCACACCCTCTTATAACTTCCACAGGCATTGTATGTCGTGGGTACACTTACATACATATAATATACTTGTACACATAAAGTAAAAATAATTAATAAAATACCAAAAGCTTTTTATTTCAGGGCTACTTTGACAGATTCTTTGAGGCATATGAAGAACAACTAAGGATGCTTTTAGCTTTAAAATGCAAAGAATTACTAGAAATAAAATATAGTGTTCTTTCCACAGTCTATGGCTGTAAGACAAAAGCTGGGATTGCCGA